GAGGTAAAGCCCAAATAAACACAATCAGAAATATAAAAGATGAAATCACAACTGACCCTAAAGAAATGCAAAAGATTATCAGAGATTACTATGTACACCTATATGGAAATAAACTTGATAACCTAGATGAAATGGAAGACTTCCTGACATCACACAACCTACCCAAGTTGAAACAAGAAGACATTGAGACACTGAACAAACCAATAAAAACCCAAGAAATTGTCATACAAAAACTACGTACCAAAAAAACCCCAAAAAACAAAAAACAAAAACCCTGTACCAGATGGCTTTCCAGCAGAATTCTACAAAACATACAAGGAAGAGCTGACACCAATCCTTTTGAAAGTATTCCAGACAATTGAGAAAGATGGAATTCTCCCCAAATCATTTTATGAAGCTAACATTACACTGATACCCAAACCAGGTAAAGATGCAACAAAGAAAGAGAACTACAGGCCAATATCCCTTATGAACATAGATGCAAAAATCATCAACAAAATTCTAGCAAATCGGATCCAAAAGCACATCTCAAAAACCATCCACCATGACCAAGTAGGCTTCATGCCCAGGATGCAGGGCTGGTTCAACAGTCGCAAAACCATAAATGTCATTAAATACATCAACAGATGTAATGTAAAAACAAGAACCACATGATTATCTCATTAGATGCAGAAAAACTTTTGATAAAATCCAGAATCCCTTCTTTATAAAAACTATCAAACACCTAGGCATAGAAGGAACATACCTCAAAATAGTAAGTGCCATCTATGACAAACCCACAGCTATCATATTGCTAAATGGACAGAAACTAGAAACATTTCCCCTGAAAACTGGAACAAGACAAGGCTGCCCACTCTCACCCCTCTTGTTCAATATTGTGTTGGAAGTCCTAGCCCAGGCAATTAGACAAGAGAAGGAAATCAGGGGTGTCCAAATAGGAAAAGAGGGAGTCAAGTTATCCTTCTTTGCTGATGATATGATACTATACCTTGAAAATCCAAGAGAATCTGTCAAAAATCTGCTGACACTGATAAAGGACTTTGGCAAAGTCTCAGGGTACAAAATAAATGTGCAAAAGTCAGTTGCATTTCTATACAACAACAAAAAGCAGGCAGAGACCCAAATAGAAAGCACAATCCCATTCACAATAGCCACCAAAAAAAAATGAAATACCTTGGCATCTTCCAAACCAGAGAAGTGAGAGACTACAATGAAAATTACAAACACTGCTCAAAGAAATCCAAGAAGACACAAACAAATGGAAAAATATACCATGCTCATGGATAGAAAGAATCAACATTGTTAAAGGCAATTGTCAAAGGCAATTGTCAAAGGCAATCTACAGATTCAATGCAATACCCATTAAGTTACCAACATCATTCTTCTCAGATCTGAAAACGACAATACAGAAATTCAAACGGAAACATAAACGACCACGAATAGCCAAAACAATCCTTAGCAAGAGAAACAAAGCAGGAGGTATCACACTTCCCAACCTCAAACTCTACTATAAACCTACAGTAATCAAAACAGCTTGGTATTGGTATAAAAACAGGCACATAGACCAATGGAACAGGACAGAGATTCCAGAAGCAAAGCCTCAATTCCTCAATCAACTCATCTTTGATAAAAAGCCTCCAACGACAACTACTGGGGAGAAGAAAACCTATTCAGTAAACGGTGCTGGGAAAACTGGCTGACCACCATGCAAAAGATTGAAACAGGGGCCCTACCTATCACTATACACAAAAATTAACTCTAAATGGATCAAAGATCTAAATGTAAAACCTCAAACTATACGAATCTTAGAAAACGCAGGAGACACGCTTATGGAAATTGGAACTGGCAACCAATTCCTATCCAGAACCCTAAAGGTCAAGACTTTAAGAAATAAGATAGACAAGTGGGACCTCATCAAACTAATGAGCTTCTGCAAAGCAAAAGAAACCATCGAGAGAGCAGGGAGACAGCCCACAGAATGGGAAAAATATTTGCCAACTGTATATCTGACAAAGGCCTAACATCTAGGATCTACGAGGAACTCAAACACACCGAAGGGAAAAAAACAAACAACCCCTTTAAAAAGTGGGCAAAAGACATGAATAGACACTTCTCAAAAGAAGATATATGGGCAGCCAATAGATACATGAAAATTGTTCAACTTCGCCTATCATCAGAGAAATGCAAATCAAAACCACATTGAGATACCACCTTAACCCAGTAAGAATGGCCATCATTAATAAAACAAACAAAAATAGATGCTGGCGAGGATGTGAAGAAAAAGGAACGCTTCTACACTGCTGGTGGGAATGCAAACTAGTACAGTCTCTCTGGAAAACAGTCTGGAGATATCTGAAAGAACTAGAAATTGACCTTCCATATGACCCAGCAATTCTCCTAATGGGAATATACCCGGAGGAACTCAATTCATTCTACAAAGAAGATACTGCACATGAATATTTATTGGAGACCTATTCACAATAGTAAAAACATGGAACCAACCATGTTGCCCATCAAAGCTGGACTGGATTAAAAAAAAATGCAGTACATATACACAATGGAATATTACACAGCCATAAAGAATGACAAATATATGGACTTTGCAACAACCTGGATGGATTTGGAGTCGATCATACTCAGTGACTTATCACAGAAACAAAGAACAGAGTTCTATATGTTCCCACTCATAAGAGAAACTCGAACAATTATAATGCTATAAAAAAGCGATGGGCAGTAATGGGAAACTGTTGGTGGGGAGGGGGGTGGGATTGGCAGTTGAGGGAAACTGCTAGGGCAGGGAGGGGCATACCTCTTTAACAGGGGTATCTGCATGATCAATGTTTGTATACCTAAACCCTGAATTGTATCCCACATCTTTACATTAAAATAAAAAATAATATATAAAAAAAGAAAGGACAAGACATCATTTTGAAATGATCCCCTTATCAGAGCAACATGATTTATGCTAAAATTGAAGCAAGAACAAACATTAAATTCATAGTGAAAACTGGGTGGAAGAATGTTGAATTATTGATGCTTTATGAAAAGTTTATGGAAGCAATGCCCCCACAGAAATCAGCAGTTTACAAATAAACAACTAATTTTAAGAAGGGATGAGACAATGTTGAACATGAATCCCGCAGTGGTCAGACCATCCACATTAATTTGTAAGAAAAAAATTGTGCCCTAAATGAAGAGAACTGACAACAGTAGAAACAATAGCCAACACCACAGACATCTCAGTTGGGTCAGCTTACACAATTCTGACTGAAAGTGGAGCAAACTTTCCCCTTGATAGGTGCCAAAATTGTGTGCCCAGATTAGCTACAGACAAGAGCAGGGCTTTCAAAGGAAACTTTAAACAAGTGGGATCATGATCTTGAAGCATTTCTTCAAAGAATTATAAAAGGAGATGAAACATGATTTCATCAGCCAGTATGATTCTAAAGAAAGAGCACAATCAAAGGAATAGTTACCAAGAGATGGAAGTGGTTCAGTTAATGCAATAGAAGACTGACTGGTCAAGAGCAAAGATCCTGGCAACAGTTTTTTAGGATGCTCAAAGCATTTTGCTTGCTGACTTTCTGGAGAACCAAAGAATGATAACATCTGCCAATTATGAGAGTGTTTTGAGAAAGTTAGCCTAAGCTTTAGTGGAAAAATGCCCAAAGAAGCTTCACCACAGTCATTCTCCAGCATGACAATGTTCCTGCTCTTGTCAAACAAAGGTTAATTATTGAATTAGCTCTAAAGTGTTGTAGCTGTACTTTATCTTAACCTATTATTGGGGTTCTATATGAACTATTAGCAGTTCTTACCCTTTCTGCATAGTGACACATCTGAAAAAGTCTGAGCCCATGAAAAATATAACTATCAGTAGTCTCATTCTAGGTAGATGCACGGTTTAGTAAACTTTCAGGTTTTATTCAGTTCCTCTGATTCTCTCTGATTCCAAAGTCTTCTGCCCCACTGGCCCACAAAACTCTTACTGACACATTAGGAGATGAGAAACAGTAAGAACCACAAGGGAAGAGCTCTAGGTTCATATAACTCATGCAGTAAATTTATGATTCCATCAGCTTGTGACATGGATAATTAGTCTATCAACAATCCAAATGAGTAAAACTTTCTTGTTTCCTTTTGGTGTAAGGAAGATATGTTTTTATTCACTTAGCACTTATTAATGCGTTCACATACAAGACTTTTAACAAAATCATGTATCAAACAGCTATTTTGTATGCCCAAGCTCATCAACATGATGTAAAAATAAGAATAAAACTCTTACTTAAAATAAACAAACTATATAACATCAAGTGGCTGTAATAAATCTTTAATAATAATATAGCTAACATATTATATAAATATATGTGCATCTTTTAGGCAACTGGTATGCTATTTTAGTTTTCTAAATTAAATAAGATTATAACAGTGCAAAATAAAATTGAAATTTAACTTGGGGTACAATTTATTATTTTGAGTGGAAAGAATATGTGTACTTTATCATCACTGCACAAAGGCTAAAAGTATAACAATCTAATCTAGTATATAATTTTCTAAAATGCAATGGAAAAAGCAAAACAGAACTGCATTTTTATATCTATCTTCACACAAGTTCAAGATCAAATTAAATCTGCTTCCAAAATAATCATACGAAAAATTTATCCAAAACTCTGAAATCAAAAAGCTCTGAAAATAAGAAGTTTTACTCACCAGGCATCTAAACCTGAGCTTAACTGTTAGGAGGATATATATATATATATATATATATATTTTTTTTTTAACTTTCTTTTATTTGGTATACATACTTGCACATTTTGCTGCAGAAATATTAATGTTTTTGTTATGGTACACTTCACATTCTGGTAGGAATATATAATACAGTATATACCATATAATCTTTCTAAAATCCAAAAGATTTCTAAATGTCAAACATATTTGACCTCAACAATTTCAGATGAGATTGGATGTGTACTACTTTTATATAATCATGCCAAACTTACCAAACTCTCTTCTTTCCAATGTTATGATTTCAGGATCATCATCATAAATGCCTAATTTTAAAAGCATATAAGAATTATAAAATCAAAACTTCACAAACAAAAAATTGCCACACAAAAATAGACTGCTTATTTTGTTTTAATTATCAGTCAGACTACTACACTACATCTCAAACTTGAAGATTATGCAACAAAGAGAAAAACAAAAGTAAATAATACTATTTGCACTATTAGAGGGATTTAAAGACATTAGAATCCTGTTACAGACTGTGTGTATGTATGTGGGGGGTGGTCAGGTTCCCAATATTCACATAATGTCATTTCCATAGAAAATTTCTATTCTGTTTTTTAAACTTTTTATTGAAAAATAATTATAGACTCAGGAAGTTGCAAAAACAGTACAGACTCTCATGTACCCTTCACCCACCCTTCCCTAATGACATGTTAGGTGGCTAAAGTACAATATCGAAATCAGGAGATTGAGAGTGGTATACTTTTAACTGTAGACCTCATTCAATTTTCAGATTATATGGTTTTTTAATAGATGGTATCACTTTAAAATACCTTCCATTGCTAAAAATCTATTAAATACATAACCTAAGTGGTGAAACAATTGCAGAGACAAACATTTAGTAAATACAAATTTTTTATCATAATAATTAAAATCAATGTGAGAAAACTTATCACTTATTGGCAAATATTCAAATAATATTAATAATGTATATAGACTGGGGAGCCCAGCAAACTTTTTCTGTAGAGGACATTAGTAAATATTTTAGGCTTTGAGGAACATATGGTTCCTGTCACAACTACTCAACTCTGCCCTCAAAGTATGAAAGAAGTCATAGATATTATGTGAATAAATGAGCTTAAATGTACTCCAATAAAATTTATTTATAAAAGCAGGCAGCATGTCAAATTTGGCCTGTGAAATGTAGCTTGCCCACACCTGGTAGACTATCAACTCACAGGTAATATACTTAAAAAATCCCATTTTGAAAAGAAAATCAGTCTTGAGAAGCAAACCCTTCAGAAAGAAATTTAAAATACTTTGTTTAGTCTAATATAAAACCATACTTCAGTTCTTAGCCTGTATTTGAAGCTAACTAATGATTAGGAGAAATACTGGAACATATCTTCTTGCCTTGATACCTATGTTTACTTTCCCTCTTCCTTGGTTTCTTTAACCTGATTCTTCCTTCCGCTTTGCCTTATCTGTGTTCACACCTTAAAACATTATCAATAAGGGTTCCATATGAGAAGCATGGCATTTCTGTTGAAGTGGCTAGTAACTTAAAGGAAACTTTAGCCTTTCTTGGAAAATATGATGCTCTAAAATAGAGTGAAAGAAATTAACATTATTCAATATTTTAAAATAATGAAAGAAATATTTAACTTCTAATGCAAATATAGACAGTCATATCTTGCTTAATAATGGGGATACATATAATAAAAATAGTGGTATTACAATCTTATGGGACCACTGTCCTATTTGTGGCTCATGATTATACATTTTTTATTAAATAGCAATCCTTATTTTATTTTATTTTAATTTTTTTATTTTTTTTTGAGTTGGAGTCTCACTCCGTCACCCAGACTGGAGTGCAGTGGCCGCTCCCGGCCACCGCAGCCTCAACCTGCTGGGCTCCGGCGATCCTTCTGCCTCAGCCTTCCAAGTAGCTGGAACTACAGGCGCGCACTACCACACCCAGCTAATTTTTTGATTTCGTGTAGAGATGAGGTCTCACCAAGTTGCCCAGGCGGGTCTCGAACCCGCGGGCTCAGGCAAATTCACTCACCTCAGCCTCCCAAGGTGCGGGATTACAGGCTGAGCCACCGAGCCCGGCTAGCAATCCTTATTTTGAAAGTATTTCCAACAAAATACTTTTAATCTCTGTATACCAACTGACTTTCCTTTTGAATGCCATTCCCATGGTACGTTCAATATGTGACTAGGTGATATCTCTTAAATATATTAAAAATATAAGCTAAGTGGTGAAACAAAATTTTCTTTTATTCAGATAAAAACAATTTCGTAAGTATTATCATATCACCTTACCAAAATCATAACGATAATAGTTCCAACTCTCATACTGGCCTCCTTGATTATCCTCAAGTCCCTTTTCTCCATATTTATCATACTTTTTCCGTAGATCTTCATCTTTGAGTACCTCATATGCTCTATTTATTTTTAAAAAGTCACCATGTGCATTTGGGTTATTCTATTAAGAAATATAAGATACAGCACAGTTATTTCAGAAACACAATCCAAGCCTCTTCAGAAATTATATGCACATTTAGTTAGCTCAGAGATTTCTAGGAGACTAGATACCAGCACAAGGAGGGGTAGCACAATGTGATATGAGTTATCATGAATTGAAATAAAAAAGTATCTTCTAGGGAACTATAATCTTAAAAAAAAAAAAAACCAGAAAAGTAACATACAAGAACAGACTTTCTAAAAGTATATATGTCATTCCTTCTAAAAAGTACAACTGAGTAAAAACTGACAAGTTCTTTGAAATTCTTAATTTTGTAAATAACGTTATAGTACTTCTAAAACAAGTAGAAATAAATAGATTTGTAAGTTGTTCTTCTATTTGAGGCAAAAATTGACATATTAACTATAAAGATTATATGCCCCAACTTATCAGATAATTAAATAAGAATATCAGAATAACAGTCCAAAATTGGATTGGAAATGTTTCTTTCTTTTTTGTTATGTTTCACAGAGTTGGTTTTTGAGGGATGCTTTCATCTATTTAATGCTTGGATGATAGAAAGTCTACCATCTTTCATATGGAAACGTAAAAATCATAACTGAAATTTTAAAGAAAGATTTGAAAAAGTAAAAATCCAAACAGACTGTAGATCTCAGGGAAAGATAAGCAACTAACAAGAGTTTTAAAGAAATACTGTTCCTATTGCTCAGCTTTATACGGTGAAATAAAATAATCCTATTTAAAAAATTCTGCTTAGAGAAAATTAAACGTAATTATGCCTTTCTTATTGTTAATGACAAGAACCAAATCTCATTAAGAAATAATTAATTAAATAAATTATAAAAATATATAAATTAAAACTAATTTAGTTTTGGAAGATGACATTATTGGATACATAATCAAAAATATGATTGTAATCAATCAGCTGCACTCAACTTTCAATTTATAAAACTTTCTAACTCTAGTCTGTGGACTGGTGCACGGAAGACAACAGTGAAAGTTAGAACATGCTATTATTAGCTATAATCACCATTTTTAGTAAGTCATATCCTCTGAGTTTTAAAGAAATTTTTTTTCTGTTACTGTTCTAAAATACTTGGTCTTAACCTTACTAAGAAAACTACTTTATAGATACTATTTGGGAATTAATGTCTTTAATAGAACTGTTAGAAATTGGTTTTCAAAGTAAAAGGAAACTGCATTTTTGGTACATCAATTCCTTCATGGGATTTTAAACTAGAATATTCTTCTTCTATTTCTAGCATATAAGTTGAATTATAATTTTGATGTGATTGTTAAATATTTTAAGCATTTATTTAAAATAATATCAAAACATACCAAAACACAGTAGTCAGATATTTTAAAAAACAAATTTCTACCTACCGGGTTTTTATCAGGATGTAACTTCAATGCCAATTTCTTGAAAGCTTGTCTTATTTCTCTGCTGCTTGCAGTTTTAGATACTCCAAGTAAACTGTAAAAATCCTGATCTGTGCCTACTAAAATGGCCATATACACTATCAGAAAACAGAGAATGATTCTTTTCAAGTCTCTGATATAGTCATCTTTATTTAACCAGACTCCCATTCTCCTTCTTATGCAAGTTCTGATTTAGTGAACATTAAGATACACTGCTGGTTCCAGTTGACGTAATACGCAAATTTGAGAACTTCTGTCCACATTACTTCCAGGGTGAATCAAGCATCACAAAATTGTCTCCAAAAATGTGACTCTAAAGAGAGGAAACCAGGCTGTTAAACAGCAATAATAAAATTTATTTATCAAACAACATGGTCAGTAATAAAACCTCCATTGAATGGCAAACCAGTGTGAATACCCCAGGTTCTATTCTTTGGGGGGGGGACTTCCTTCACTGTTTATATATCCAGGTAGCTGGATCTGAGAAATCACTCAAGATAATAGACAAAAGGTCATGAGTGGTAGTAGCTAGCTAGGACACTTGCACACACACTCAGCAATGTAGACAATGAGAAAAGGCCTTTGATCAGCATTAGAACACAAGGGTGGGAAAAAGCTATATTTTCTTCCTCTTTCTACCCAGTTTTAGTGTTTTCCTTTTAATGCCTCTCCTTTTTTGGCTACTTCTTAGGAGATGGCCTTTTGGGGGGACTAGGGTTCTTCCAAAAGATCTTTACTTTTCACATAACCTTGCCAAAAGTGACAGTGAATGATACTGTCATGATAGACAATCTACATGGCAGTCACTGAGTTTTCTCAGAAGGTGCTTACACTGAATTTAAGTAGAAACCATATTATGAAAATAGAATAATAAATATATTTTTGAGATGAGTTCTTGCTATGTTGGTCAGCTGACTGAAACTCCTCGGCGCAAGCAATCTTCCTGCTTTGGCTTTCCAAAGTGTTAGGATTACAGGCGTGAGCCACCGGCCCGACCTAGAATAATAATTACTGTTAAGAATGTAACTTTATTACAAAGTTCATGTTTGGTACAAACAGAAATAGGAAAAGAAACTGCAAAGGAGATCTGTTATTTAGACATGCTCACTTCTGTAGGGTTAAAAACAATCACTACTTCATCACATCTAGACTCATATATTTTAGCCCCAAAGATCTCATAATGCTTTGAAAAAAAATCTAACTTTTCCTAGCGTCTTCAGTTTCTTTATTCATTTGATGCTAAGGGTGTGCTGTAAAATTTTTCTCCTTACCCGTGAATGGTCTTCAGCTCATATCTAATACCTACTTTTTAATCCCACAGAACTACACCTGTGTAAAATTAATCAATACCTACACTAGAAAATAGTCATTAGAAAAAAAAGAGAACATGTTCTCCGTCCCCACTTTGGAATAAGCTGTTCCCAGGCCTGGGCTGTTCTCAATCAGCGTGGGTGTGGCTGAGCTGCCCGGGACCTGGACAGGTGGAGGCTGCAGGTAAATGCGTGGGAACAGCTTTCTGCTGCCATCACTCCAGAGGGGGCGAGGGGAAGGATGGAGACGCAGGGGACGGACCGACAAGTGTTGCTGGTGTCTGCAGTCTCAGGTCGGACTGAGAGAGGGAGCCTGAGTAACAGGGGAGTCGCAAGCAAGGGAAGGGTGGTGCGGGTCACAGGGAGGAAGATGGGGAGCGAGAACACAATACACTGGTCATGGGGGCGCGGAGGCAAGCGACGTTCAGGCGCGTAGGCATGTCTCCCCTCCCTTCCCGGAGGGCCCTGTCCCCCGGCTGGTGCCCACCTTGGTGTCGCTTCCAGCAACTACTCCCTCATCTTCAAGTCCCGGCGGCAGACCCCGCCTGACCGAGCCCACGCAGGGCGTGCGGGAGAAAAACACAGCCACTCTCCGACTGCCGGGCTGCCGCGCGCGGGACGCAGAGTACCAGCCGTACAACGGCGACCAGCGCCTGGCCAGCTCCTGTCGGCGGTTCACGCCGGTCTCCGCGGCAGCCCGGGGCGGGGCCTGCGCGGGGCATTGTGGGAAGGGCGTGGAGGACGCAGCCGGGAGTCCCCGGCGAGCGCGGCAGCGCCGGGACGGGAGGGCGGTGTAGGTTTGGGTTGACGTGGCCTTCTGCGCGGGATAGGGATCCGGCTCCGGCTCCCAACCGGACCCGAGGGACCAGCAGAAGCCAGCGCAGCTCGCTACCCCGCACCCACACGTCTGGCGTCGGCCGTGGGCGGGGCTGGCGGACGACGGAGCCCGCCCCTTCCTGGTCCCGTTGCCAGGGCGACGGGGAAACCCAGTGGGCGGGGCCTGAGTGAGCGTATTCCCGGAGACTCTTCTTAAAGGGAAGTTCTTAGCAAGCACAATTTTGGTGGATAATAAGGCTGCAAGATAGATTGCAGTGGACTCAAGACTGAATAGAAGCTGAGGAAATGGAAGTAGCACATAAATTCTCTGTGAAGGTTTGAATCAGAAGAGAAGCAGAAAAACTGTAATGTAACTGGAAGAATATGTAGGCTCAAGAGAGGAAATATCTTAGGCTTGGAAAGACTTGAAGTTTCAAGCTTATTGGGAGCCAACAAAGAGAGGCTGCAGATACCGAGTAGGTTGGAGTCAGGGTCACAGGTGGATTAATTGACCTTAAACAGTTCATTTATTAATTAAAATTATTTACTGTTCTCTAGAGTAGGTCATTGGGGTATTATGGTGAGCAAAGACATAACTCTGCTTTCAAGAAGTAGATAATAAAGGACATATCAATCAATTGTTCAAACAAATCTATACTTAGGAAGGGAAAACACAGTGCTAGGAGAATGAATGAAGAAATAACCTCCTCCTAGGGGTAAAGTTTGTGAAAGGTCTTACAAAAAATAAATAAAGAAGACTTTGAATGTACATGGGCAAAAAAAAAGGAGGGGGTGGGGTGGGGGAAATTTTAGGCGGTAAGAGCAGCAAGCGCAAAGGACTTGGGCTTCAAAAGAGCATGTGGGTTAAGGAACAAACACAATATGCCCAAAGGAGAGAGAACAAACTGAGACTGGAAAAGTAGACAGGGACAAGATGTAGTTCATTTTAAGGATTTTGATATTTTCTTAAGAGCAATGGTAAGCCATAGGGCAATGGTCCGATTAATGTTTGGCTGCTCTACCATTTTTGACTGTATAAATCAATAAATCAAAGGGACAGAGAATTGGTAGAAAGAGTTTTATTTCTGAATTTGAATCCAGGGAGCAGAGTCACCTTTTGGCCTCTTTAAAATGATTCTGCACACGCTTCAAGTTTTATAGTCTACTTTTATAAGTTCAGGGTTATTGTTACCTATACATTGACTACGCAACTGGCAGAGCATTTATAGCACCTAAGTCACAGCCACATTTTGTCAGTAATAGCATTTTATGGTCCACATTTCCTGGTGCCAGTTACCAGAGGTATCTCACAGCTTTTTATCAGTAGCACCCGCACCCAGCGGAAGCGTTAATCAAGCTTTCCAAAGAGTAAAGAGAGTTAACAGGGCCTAACACATCATACGGTGTTACATCATACCTGTTGTTATATGCAAAAGTTATACAAGTCACAAGACTTATGATTACATTGATACAGAAATTATACAAACCAGTGACTACTAAGAAAAGGGAGTAATAAAAATTTAAAGAAATAAAAAAAGAAAAGGGAATAAATGGGGATTTACATCTCAGTTAATTGGGCACAGTCTGCAGGGAAGTTAAGCATTCTTTGAAGTTACTGGGAGTGCATAGGAGATAAGGGGAAGCACAGCTTTTGTTAACTCTCTGGAACCTGGGTACCTGCAGGAGCACTGGAATACTTCCCATACCCCCCTCTACGGGTTGTGACAATATGAACAGACATTAGCAGGTGTCTGTATCAACAGAGGGGTTTAAACACTGGAATGTTGGAACTGTATATAAAAGTTACCAAAAAAATTGAATGTATAGAACAGATAACTCTGTTTCCTCAACCACTTGAGAGTAAGTTGCTAACTTGTTGTATCATTATTCTCCCAAACAGTGGTGTGTGTGTGTGTGTGTGTGTGTGTATGTATAATTATTTTTTAACAAGAACATTCTACATAACCGCAACATAGAGTTGTCTGTTCTCCTATGCTCTTCCACTGAAATGATGCATTTTTCCTTTTTTGTAATATGTGCTTTGTGGGAAAGTATTTTGAGACTATCAACATTCTATTCCTCATCAAACTTTCAATTTATTCATTAATTTATATTATTCTGGATTCATGGATTCCTGTCTTATTCAGTGAGTTAACTATCACTTATTTAGATGCTTAAGTGCATCGAGATTTGACCAATAGGAATTCTTTCTTTTGAAAATACCATCATTCTTTGAATTTGCTTGTTTTCTAGAGCCCAGTAAGACATTCCAGGAATTTTCCTGGCTCAACTGTAATGCCAGACATTTCTCTGAGAAACCTTGTTTTTTTTGAAGAATGGTATTTAATAGCAAGATCTAGGTGCTAGGCATGCTTATGCTATGGGGATGTTGTTGCTCCCAGGCCTTCTCAGTAGACAAATGTGGGAACAGATATACATATACATACACACATGTACACACTTCCACATTATATATATAAAACTATGAGTTAACCCCAACATTTCCAGTTGCAATGCAATGCCACAAGAGTCAGAATTTACTTATTTTAGCATTTTTCCTTTATGTGTAGCTTTTCTCCCTGACAACGAGAAAGCTGGCTCCCGTTATCCTTTATATATATTCTCGTTTGTTCAATTCCACCAAAAGTACCTAATCTCCCATTGCTGACTTCCCCATGCGACTACTGTCCTTATCCCACCTGGGTTCCCACACCTTACTGAACCTCTCTCCTGAGCAGTTGCTCTGCTCACTCCACTCAGGTTCCAACCTGTGCCAGGCTGTCTTGCAGGGACACCAACTTCACCCTGAAAGGGCTCCAAAACACAGTGACTCACTCTTTTTCCCTTATATGAACATTCCCCTCACATTGGTTGGACTCTGACTCTCTGCCAGCCTGACCTAATGGCTTTTGGTCTGAATTATTCAAGATGGAGAAGGGCCACGATTATTCTTTAATAATTGTTTTAGGCCAGGCTCAGTGGCTCAGCCTGTAATCCCAGCGCTTTGAGAGGCTGAGACAAGTGGATTGCCTGAGCCCGTGGGTTCGAGACTAACCCAGGTAATTCAGCGAGACCTTGACTCTACAATAAATCAAAAAATTAACTGGGGCATGGTAACATGTGCCTGTATTTCCAGCTACTTGGAAGGCTGACACGGAAGAATCATCAGAGCCCAGCAGGTTGACGCTGGGGTGGCCGTGAGTGTGTCCACTGCACTCCAGCCTGGGCGATAGAGTAAGACTCCAATTAAAAAAAAAAACAAACTAAAACAAAACCCAAATAATAATTGTTTTAGCTACAGTTTGAAAAATATATTGGAGGGAAGCAACAGAAGATAGAGAAAGACTGTTTAGGAGATTATTGAAATAGCCTGGGTGATAGAAGATGGCCTGGGCTAAGGTGACGTTGGTGCAGATATAGAGAAATAAACAGATTTAAGAATTAAGTAGAACCTATGTTCATTGAAGCACTACTTGCAACAGCCAAGATATGCAGACAATTTAAGTACCCATCACAGATGAATGGATAAAGAAAATGTGGAATATATACAATGGACTCTTATACAGTCATCAAAAAGAAAGGAAATCCTGCCATTTGTAACAACATGGATGAATATGAAGGACATCATGCCACCTGAAATAATTCAGACACAGAAAGGCAAATAGTATATAATCTTACTTATCTGTGGAATTTAAAAATGTTGAACTCATAGAAGGAGTAGAAGAACAGTGGTTGCCAGGGTCTGTGGTACAGGGAAAACGGGGAGACAGTAGTCAAATGGAATAAACTTTTGATTGTAAGATGAATATGTACCGGGGATCTAATGTTGAACATACTGACTGTAGCTAATACTGTACTGTACACTTGAAATTTGATAAGAGAGCAAATTTTAAGTTTCTTCACTGTACACACATGCGTACACACAATGGTACCTGGTAACGTGTTAATTAATTCAACTGTGGTAATCAGTACACACTCTATACGTATAACCAATTATATTGTACACCTTGAACATATGCAGTTTTTATTTGTCAGCTAAATATTTTAAAGTAAAAAAAGCAGAAGGTAATATATAGGATTTGGTGATGAGTTGGTCATGAAAGATATTTGAAGAGAAAGATATTTGAAGACAGATCTCTACTTCAGATAATTGACATCAATGATGTCCACTTCAGGGAAACCAAGGCCTTTCAGTCTCAAAAT